TCTAGGGGAAAATCTCTGCTCTTTCTGCAGAGAAGAAAGGGAAGAGCCAGTCTGATCAATTCTACTGCCTCTTCCCTGTAGTTCCTCCTCTTAACCTGTGTGTCTTCAAGTAGAAGTTATTTTAATTATTCAACATATAACGGGTTCCTGTAATAACAAAAGATCACAAAATTGGACCATGGTGCTCCTTGGAATCAGCAAAGGACTGTGTAAATGTGGACATAGAGTTTATAAAATTCAGTATTCAAGGCAAAGAGGATTTTACTCCAGACTGAGACAGTCAATTTGAAGAAATAAGGCATTTCTTTAAGAGTCTTGAATTGTTCTGACTCTCTCACTAGATAACACGGAGCGGGTTTGAGTGAAGTTGTACAAAAGTGAGCTGCAGAGTAACTTGACAAAGTAAGGGGATTTTTAAGCTACTTCAGAGTCTTGTCCCATCAGACCATTACAACCACTGAAGTGGATCAAATGGTTACATAAAGCAGTAGAACTAGAACTAATGGAGTGATTTTATTTGTACTAGAGCAAGTCCACCATTGCACGCCCTTTGTCTGACTCTAAATATCTGGGTAACTTTATAGGAAAAGACATTTTCTAGCCCTAAAAAAGTCAAGTGCATGTTTCTTTTTTCACATTTTTAAATCTAGGTTAATTCCTGTTTCTTATGGTTCATTTTATCTTTTGAGCAAATGGAAAAACAGCTCTACCTAAATTCTCTAAGTTCTAGTGAGTAGGGAAGTGACACTTCCAAACGCAGACTGAGACATTGTATTTTCATTTTCCAGGTGTAGGCATGGGCATGGCATTTAAGACAGAGTTCTGTGTATTTTTGAAACAATCACTGTAAAGTTATTTTGAAAAAATATTGTAAACATCCTTGGAAGCAAATTGATATCTCATTAGAATGAAAAATGTAACTTTTGGCTGGGAAGGTTTACCTAATATATATATACCCTGGTGTTTTGAAGCTTAAGTTGGACCATAAGCCCAGTTCTGAATTTTCATATATGAAATACCAGGCTTATTCATGTCTAACAGCATGCACTGAAAAAAGCTTTATTTGTTGAACTCCCTCCCAAATGTACTGCAGAAAAAGTTTGCCTACAAGTTGAGCATGTGGATATCTGTACAGGTAAGAAATACTTCAGAAAACAACATTAATCACCTGTGATATAAGAGACATTTCTCCCCTTAAACTGTTTGGTCTGGAACAGACTGCATTGGAAATCACTCAGACTGAAGTCTTGAACTGATAGGCAGTTTGTGTGAACACAATTACTGTACTGTGCAAATCTGTTTGAACATCTATCATTTAAAAGATAGGCATAAATTTAATAAAACACAAGGCATAAAGCTGCTCTTGTGTTGAATAGCGACCAGATTGTAAGGTGGTTTTAGAAAGCAAGACTTCTAGTGAATATGCATTTTTAAAAGCCTCCAGACAGTGTCAAGCATATTAAGAACTACAACTAGTCCTTTTTATCAAGAGGGTAACTTCCAAGGTTTTTATTCCTTATTTGATACAATGTAATCTGCACATATCCCCAGAGGACAGCTAATTCTTAATATCTGTTATTTTTTCTTTCTATTTAAGTATATTAGTGATGTTGATTAGATGTCAAAGCTTGGACAGTGTGTTCTCTAATACTGTGAACTTGGCAACACTTCTATCAGAGAGTGGCATTTTGGCTTATTCCGTTATTTCAATAGGGAAAGCGGAAGAAAAAATCTTAACCTTTTAAAAATAAATTTTAATAACATTCTGGAATTTGCGAAAGGCCATCAGACCTTGCACCTGATGCGTTGATTTCTGCTGACCCCTTTTGACAGGAAAAAACACACTTAGGTTACAAAAAAGAATGTAGAGCATGACATAATTTAATTGGGCAAGTTTACTATTCTGAAAAAAGCCAACGTCTGCACTTTTTTTTCTGAAAAGAAACCAAAGCAGCAAATAGGAAAGGAACATATTTTCCTTACTAGAATAGGAAGCGTTCTCCTTGTTGCTGTGTATTGGCAAAGCTTTACCAACCTGAATAGTGCAATGCCAGTTTTTTAGCATCTGAGAAGTTGGTTTGGCCTTTGGAATACAATGGATCATCAATTCAAGGCTCTCCCATCAACAAAGGGAGATTCCTTAAAATGCCTAAGTACACAGAAACTTCCTTCGCTCCTCACTATGCACATCTCAGCAGTTTGTATTCAGGTTCACATTCAGGTCTTGATGATTTTAGTCCCTTCTCGGGCAATTGGATTCTTTTTCCTATGAACTGTAATAGTCCTTGTCTCTGTTTCCATGAAAAAGCCAAATCAGTTGTTAAGCCATTAGACTCTGACCACTGCAAAACTTTTTTCTAATGAACTTATTTTGATTTACATACCAACTGTCTCTGAATGCAGTAGCTATGCATTTGCCAATGGGATGATCTAATTCATCAGGCTGAAACATAACTTTTCTTTGTCATATGTGAAAATAAGTGATTAAGTAGAGAACAGAACTACCGAGAGATAATAGTTCTTAGACAGCAGAATATAGCTTAAGCAGCAAGTTAACCTCTTGAATCACTTAACACAGATTTCATACATAAAGATGTTGTTCCTTTATTTTATTCTATTTCAGGCACAAAAAGTAGCGATACCGATTTTGAAGTTCTGTATGACAACTCACAGATGCAGATGGTTTGTAACTAATTTTAGGCTGCATTTTCCATTCAGATGAAGAGATCCTAATGTTAGAATCTTCATGATACATGAAGAGTTGTCTTGAGAAGCAGAAGTTATTTATAAAGGTGTTGGTCTGCTTTGGATGGAGAACTGCAGATGAATTCTCTTTTCTCCATAGTGGTACCAACATGTTATGAAACAAGATGTTTCAATACCAATGCCACCAATCTGTATGTCACTGAACACCTGTTTTTTTATATGGTCTATTTGAAGATTAATTGCCTGTTTTGCAGCAAAAGCTTCTTGTCAGGAAAACCCAGTTAGAAACATTGGTTTTCCAGATCATTACCCTGAATGTAACCACATATACAACACAATGATTATTGAATAACCACATTTAAATACTGCCATTTTCAAGTAAAAGGGAAAAAAATGCTACTGGTATTGTGTATTCATTGTCATGGCTACAGTTGTCTGCTAAGAAAGTGGTTTTGCCCTTAATCCACCCCAGTTAAAGCTGACATACAAATTTTAAGAAATGCAGTGTAAGCTAAACACAAAGATCATTAACTCCAGAACATTTTACCCAAAAAAATACCAACATCTGGGAGGAAAACAAGGCAAATAATTGTTTGATTGTTTGGCTTTTGCAGATGCAGCATATGTATGTGATATCTTGGTTGCAGTATTCTTCATCACTAAGAAGATTTTTTGGTGCCAAAAGAGAAGATTGTGGGACTGACTGAAATCAGGACTGAAGACATGTTTGATCAGAAAAAGTGGTGAAGATTTCAGAGCTTACAAAGCAAATGCAGTGATTTTCTTGTCCCTGTTCTCTAAACCCTTTTTCCCCCAGGAAAACCTTTACAGCCTCAACCAACTCCATAAGCAGGAGATGGCTGTGCATATAAAAAAATCCTAACATGTGCGAACTTGGCAGAATGTAGTCTCCACTGGGATGCTGAAAACTGTACAGCTTTGCAAAGCAGAGCTGCACCAAATTGGAGAAGAGCACTTGAGGCGTTTTTATTTGTGTACAGCTAGCAAAAACTTTTATTTTTATTTAGTTTTATATCTAGGCCAAGCACAAGAGAAGCAAGTGTGTCTTAGTGCTGTATTAGTGTGGTCATTGTGCTAGAAATTACCATATTCTGTGATTCCGTAATTTTTCTTTTACAATACTACTTCTGTAAGTTGGCTGCCAAAAAAAAAGGGAAAATTTTGCCAAATCTTTTGCTCAAAATTGTATAAAATCTATGTTGCACATTCATACCAGCTTAGATTAACACCACTGTGTACAGTGGGGACTCAATGGTTTTTGTATGTGATGCCATATATATTAAACTTTTTTGATAAATCAGTTGTTGTCTTCTACATTTAATAAAGACATGCAAATACTGCAGTTCCTTGTCTGTGCTTTTCTTCTCAGTGTTCGGGTCTAGATACTTGTGTGTCTGTGTCTGTGTGTGTCTGTGTGTGTGTGTCTGTGGATGTTTATGTGTGTGTGTGTGTTTGTGTGTGTATGAGTATGTGTGTGTGTGTCTGTGTGTGTATGAGTGTGTGTGTGTGTCTGTGTATGAGTATGTGTGTGTGTGTCTGTGTGTGTATGAGTATGTGTGTGTGTGTCTGTGTGTGTATGAGTGTGTGTGTGTCTGTGTATGAGTATGTGTGTGTGTGTCTGTGTGTGTATGAGTGTGTGTGTGTGTCTGTGTATGAGTATGTGTGTGTGTGTCATGTGTGTGTATGAGTTGTGTGTGTATGTCTGTGTGTGTCTCTGTGTCTGTGTGTGTCTGTGTATGAGTATGTGTGTGTGTGTCTGTGTGTGTATGAGTGTGTGTGTGTGTCTGTGTATGAGTATGTGTGTGTGTGTCTGTGTGTGTATGAGTATGTGTGTGTGTGTCTGTGTGTGTGTGTCTGTGTGTGTGTATGAGTATGTGTGTGTATGAGTATGTGTGTGTGTGTCTGTGTGTGTGTCTGTGTGTGTATGAGTATGTGTGTGTATGAGTATGTGTGTGTGTCTGTGTGCGTGTGTCTGTGCGTGTGTCTGTGCGTGTGTCTGTCTTTCTGTGTGTGTGTGTGTAGGGGAAAGGGACAGCTCAAACCTCCCTGAGGTGGCCCCGTGTCCCTCTGTCGGTCAAAGGCAGTTCGCACACACTTGCCCATCCCTCAGCTCCCGGAGTGCAGCTCAGATTGGCAGGACAGCGAGGACACCGCCCCTCACCCCGTTCGGGAACCCCCTCATGGCCGGTGGGTCAGAGGCCCTGCCTGGGCGGGTTGGCCACAAGAACCAGAGTGGATAAAACCAAAGGAACGTGTTCGCCTCGTGTCGCGGCCCTGCCATCTGGACAGGTGAGAGCTGGGCTTCCACGAGGTTCCAATGGTAGCAATACAATCTGCCTTTCCCTCTTTCTCCTTCCTCTCTTTTCTTGCTCCCTCTTTTTCTCTTTCTTTGCTCCTTTTTGATGCTTTGGGTAGCTTAAAGCTGAAGGAATTGGATTTTAACTGGGTAGTGTGGATTGGTATGTGCTGGGTCAGTACTGTGGTGAAATGTTTCCTCTAGATTGTGTGATACCCTTTTGAACTTTTGCCAAGTTCCCTTATTTTCTCCCCTAAATTATCAGTAAAAATGCCTTTTAGGGACAAGTGTGTGGCTTATTCTCTTGACGCTATCTCGAGGTATTAAAGAACCCTATATATATTTTAAAGTAAAACTCCTGGCTGATCCTGTGAGCTTGCAGCTCCAGGGCTGGGGTGTTAACAACTATCACAAAGGAAAGCACCACAACTCCAGGGTTTGGAAGCACCATGTGGCCCCTTTTGGATTTCAGCATTGGACTCTGTGCCCGTATTTTGCTTAAGTCCTGCCTTAAATCCTGTTTCTAGGTTGCAGGCTGATTCCTCTCTCTGTAAGGGTCAGGGTCTATGAGAGCATGGCAGTTTAGCTAAGTAGAAGATCCTGGGTTCGATAAGTGGCACAGCTGAAAGTGTGATAGATAATAAATGAGAACTAATTATGTTCAAACTGCAATTGGGCCAGCAATTGCTTTAATTTATATAAAAAGAAAAGGGTGGCCAAGTATTTCTTTTGTCCAAGGTATGTTAAAGATCATTACGGTAAGAGTTTTTAGGAGGATAAGAGTTTAGTAGGTAAGTGCTTTTTCTTTATAACAGAGAGGAAAAAAAATAGAGACTATCTAGTTAGTCATTGCTATTTCAGCTTTTTCTTTCTGTCTGTTTTCAGGCAAAAATGCTTTTCTACTTTATGAATTCATTAGTAAGGAAAAAAGTTAGAAGCTGTTTTCTGGAAAGCAGAGTATGTTGCCAAATGGTTATGGTAGTAGGTTTTGAAGTACCAAGTCTGAAAACAGAGAAATTTGCTCATAGTGTGCACCTGATAGAAGAGGTTTTAGCCTTTCATTCAGCAAATTGGATTAGAACTAGCAATTTCTATTTCATCCATTTTAATTGTGTGGTTTTAATTATTTTCTTTTGCTTTGGCTCAGCATATGTTATCAGGGCTAGTGGGCCAAATTCTCTGTGGTCTAGCCATAGCCTTTTTTCAGCTTTACCCTGATGATTAAGAAGTAAAATGAAGCCTCTTTATCAATAGAGCCCCTTTACACCAGTGTCTGGTTTTATTACAGCAATATCTAAGAACTCATGATCGTTAAAATTCAGAGGTTACTGTTAATAAGAGACATGTGGGGAAAGCATCTGGTGGCTTTTGCATTCTGAATACTGCTCCTTTTTAGAAACAAGTAGTACTGGTTAGAAATTAAAAATGTATTAATGTCTCTGACTTTTTTGCAAAAACTTCTTGGGCCCCTTGGGAAGTAGTTTCTTGACAGAAGCAAGCACCTGATGTTAACCTTGTTGTAACAGACACAAAAAGTTCCCTTTGTGTTAAAACCCAAACCCAACTGATATAGTATATCAGATGACAACTAAATACAGGATCACTTAATGGAATAGACCACAATGATGTTTGTTCTTCTGAAAAGTGAAAGAAGTGGGGGAAGGAAAGACGTGCACAACTTGCTAATGATGGATATCTGTCTGCAAGTGGTGGTGTTGGATTACGGGGTGTGTTCCCTCTTTCTTGACTGTCAGAAAGAAAACCAAAATGTTAAAACCAGTTGATCTCTACTCTCAAATCCCCATGTCACCTTATATTCTGTATGTTTTCTTCTGAAAATATTCTGCGTCTTAGAAAGTATTGTTCTCAGAATTTGTACGATATGCTAGAAATGCAAATGGCTCCCATCTAAGGAGCAAAACAGTGAAAAGAACTGCTGCTCACTTTTCCAGTAGTTAATGAGTGAAACCAATATCTCAAATACTGAGTTCATAAATTTAACTGACTTACATTGTTGTATAGCAAGATGTCTAAGTGTACATATAAAAAAATGTTAAATTTTTGGTCTTGAGTGTTATTGGTGACAACTATTTGGCTCAGGGCAGTATTTATCATTGCTTCTCTGAGGTGCTGATATCAATTCCTGGCACCCTGCATTTGCATACTCTGTATGGTTTCTTTAGATATTTTTCAACTTTTAACTCCACAAAACCTTTCACATGGTACTTCAGAAGGAAAAGCAGAATATGTGATTTTTAAGACAGGTAAGTTAGCAGCATTAACACCTTGAGGTTTTCAGAAAAGGGTTGAATCTCATGAAAATGAAGATTGTAACAATCAGTGAAGCTTAGCTTTTCAAAGAGCCCTGCAGACAGTGTCAAACAATACTTCTCTGATAGCTTCTTGTTTGATTTGGAGTCATTCACGTCTTTGTGGAGGTAAATTTGACAGCTCTGCTGTACTTATTAGTGGGGCAAAAAGCTCTGAAAAAAATGCACAACCATATGCAATTATGTTCTCTCCTGTCCTTGTGCATCTATTGCTCTGGTTAATTTAAGTTATTGATAGAAGTTATTTTTCCTGGTCTCTAACCTGTTATATATGTAAAAGTTCCTTAGTTCATTCAAAATTTAACAAAATAGCCTAATGTTTAAAAAAAATAATTATTTGTTATTAGTAGTCAGCATTAATACCAATTTCTGTTCTAGAATTCAAAGACAATATAAAACACTCCTCCTGCTAAAAGCAAGTTTTAAATATGCTTTTCAAAGCCTTTCGTGCTTATTTTGCTAATCCATTTTTTGCATATACTGTGCTAAATTCCTTATAACTAAGGCATGGTTAGTGCTTATCCCAATAATGTATATATACAGTATTAGTCTTAATCATACATCCTAATTTTTCTTAAAAGGAGGAAAAAAGATAATTAAGATTTGCAGTGTAAGTAGAACACTAACAATGTTATGCTCTATTTGGACACGAGGGGGGGGGTGGAATTCCAAAATGTAAAGCCTTTCACAGAGTGCCTCATGTCAGTTCTCCCAGTATACGTGTATTAGGTGTGATGTATCTGGTTGAAATTCCAAAAAGGTCTTGCCAAATTTAATGCATGAGGATATAAACAACTGAAGTCAAGTACTTGTGCTGAGTCAAAGCTGAGTTGGATCTTTAAAAGCATGAGTTTGAAACAGTTTTAAAACTGTTAAATAAGGCTGGATTGCTAGTGGATCTAGTTGCTATCTTGTCTGTGTTTGTTTCTCTTTGGAAATAGGGATGGTTTGCTTAAAATATCTTACAGTTCGTTGTCAGAAAAGGTTGGGGTTTGTTTTTTTCCAAGTGTCTCTCAGAGCTATAATGAGATGACATTTTCTCAAGCATCACTGTAGTCAACAGAGTATAACAATTGTAATGGTATTTTTGCTTATGTGGGCTTGGCTATATGGTGAATGTGTTATTTTGGTTTCTTGTTTGTTTTTTTTTTTAATTTATATATAACATGAGATAGAATAAAAATTGCATTGAGTGATGAAGTAAGCCTAAGAAATTTACATTAAGAGAGTGGGAATATTGTCTAAGTAACTTCAATAATAAAACTGAAGAACACCTGGTGTTAAGAATGTGTGCCTGGTGTTAAGAATGTGTATATACATATATGGAGCTCATATCAGTGGGAACCTATGACAAGAAAAAATGAAAAGCTGAAACCAATGCAAAATGAGCTATGGTGTTGTGTCCACCTCAAATGATTTTGTAAGTTATTATCATCCAACATGAGGAACACGTTACCACAGAAGCAGCAAAGTTGTAGCAGGACCTATAAATGGGTGGCATTGCTTTCACTCTTTCCTCTCAGGTGACTGCGTATTTTTGTTAGATTTAGCCACGAATTTTATCTGCAGGGTACATAACCACTCTAGTTAATTCAAGCTAAACAATGGGGAAATCATTTTCCTTTAGTTACCTTTCACCTATTTTTTTCCTCAAAAGGCCAAAAACTCAAGGAGCTGCTGTTGCTGGATCCCATTCTTTCCTTAGTTATTTGTAATATTTTTTTAATTTTACTTGACAAAATATATCTGGAGCTATTGAACAGTTTATAAAATAAGATTCATTATATCAGGATTTTTTCTCACAGGATAAGAAAACTGAGGGAGAAATGCTAAAGTTCTGAAAAATACAAATCATGTAGAGAACAGAATGATTATCACTCTGCTAAAGGACACTCCGTAAAAATAACAAGCACCAGACTTCCATTAACAAGGAGATACATTTTCTCATAAGTACAACACCACTATGAAATTCCCTGCCCTAGAGAACATTGGGGTTCTGTGATGAGTGAGAAAAGGCCATAGAAGGTTCATGCAGAATGTGTTTCTCAGAAGCTGTTCGGTGTGGCTGGGAAAAGGCAGCTCCTGGCTTCAGGTGGCTTTACCTGCTGCTTTACAGGAGCTGTGATGGTGTCCAGGCAAAGGGTCACTCTGTGCTTTCTCAGCTCTGTTACTTTTCACTACAGCATCTTTTCATGGCCCTTGGCTGAATTCTGGGCTAAATGATGCTTTCTGAAGGAATATATCTGTTCTTAGGGATGAGGAACAAACTCATATGTAATTATGACAAAGGATCTCCAAATTGAACAAATACATTTTATAAAGCTGCTATCTGGAGTTTTCTCATTTCTTTCACATGAGCTAACCTTTCTGTAATGGAGTAACTTTCTGTTATCTCTCCTTTCCTCATCTTGTTTTCAAGTTTTAGCTGCAAGCCTGTCCCTTCTGCCTTTTTATTTGTGAATAAAACTACTGTGGGGCAGCAGTTTTTATATGAGGGGCTTTTTAAGCAGAAATGACATTATTCAGTCTCTGACAACACTGATAACTGTCTACAGTCAAAGATGGATTTAAGATGAAAAATGTTTTGGACATGCTAAACTGAAGACTAAAGAAGAGCAAGTTTAATTTACATAGGAAAGAAAATAACTATTTCTGCCTGTGGTATTTTATGCACATTGGTATTTCCACTGAAGTTTATAGATAAATACCTATATTTGCTTCTGATCTCAAATACAAGAAGAGCTCATCTGGTGTGCTTTAATTTGATGCATTATTACAGCTGAAATCCTGGCAAGCTTATAAATCTGACAAATCCACAATTCTTCAGAATTGGAAAAGAATGTTTTCCTCTCAATTTCTGTTTGACTTTTAACAAGCAAATTTATCTCTCTTGATGTTCCAAACCAAGATAATCAATGTTAAGTAGTACAGATAAACTTCCTTGAGGGAAGGAAAAGCTCCTACAGTAATAAGTGAACATTTATACAGGTTAATGTTACTGATAACAGAATTCTGCAATGATTACCATAACAGCAAACCTGCATTCATGTGCTTCCTAACAAGCATATAAGCTTTCTTTTCTTCCACCTGGCATCAAACACTGAACATTAACCTCATCTTTCTAGAGTTTAGGACCATTGACAAATGTCTCAAATTAAACTGCAAAATGAGGAATCCTTGACAGTAGTGGCTGGTTATTAGTTTTGTGAACCTACACAGGGCTTTCGGGGAGGATTCTCTGCAGGGCTGCACTGTGCTACAGGGAGGAGAGAAACCTGACAGTTCTGAAGAGCTTTTGATCACTGTCCAGCCTTGCAGCTTCTGAGCGCTAACTCTTTTCATCTATCTTTTGGTTCAACCTGAGGAGTTTGTTCATATTATTATTCTGTGTCCTAATGCTGAACAAGTAACAGCCATTTTTGCTTGTATCCACCTAGACTCTAATCACCATTTTTGTTTCTTTGTAAATAGCAATGAAGATGCATTCCTACAGCAACGTGGGCATAATTAAGGTCAGAGCTGGGTCTTCAAACATCTTCCTGTATCTCCCTTGGTCTGTAAGACACCATTAACGAACACTTTATTTATGCCCTTGCACTGTAGAGGTGTTGACATTTAATTTTCATCTATTTTCTTTTTTTCCACAAGGTGCAAGAAGGTGGAGGGAGGAGCTGCCTATTTCATAGCTGAGGGAGCTAAAGCAAGGAAGGCTGGAGTTGGTTATCAATCGAAACTGGAGGGTTTCCTAGAAAATGTTGCTGTGCCCCCAGACACTGTAGTACAGCTCCTATTCTGGCCCGGGGCAGGTAAGGCTCTGCAACCAGGGGCTGCCTGCCAGGAACAACCCCTCTGCTCCTGGCTGCTGGCCCTGGCGTGGGCTGAGGGCAAGGGACAGGGCAGAACAGAACAGCTGCTGCCTGTGAAGGGGGAGAGGGTCCTGAAGAAGTCTCCGAACTCCTCTATCAGCCTGAGGCTACAGGCTGAGCCATGTGACAGTCACAGAATTGGTCAAGGTTGAAGAGACTACAATGGGTCGGTCATCTGATCCAACCTTCCCGCTCAAGCGGGGTCATCCCAGAGCACGTGGCACAGGATTGTGTCCAGACTCCGTGCCTGCTCTGGGCAATATGTTTTAGTGTGCAGTTCACCCAGACAGTAAAGAAGTTTTTCCTCATATTCAGGTGGAACTTCCCATGCATCAGTTTCTGCCCATTGCTGCGTGTCCTGTTGGCACCACGGAGCAGAGGCTGGCTATAGCCTCTAGGCACCCCCACTTTAGATATTTATATAGATTAATCAGGTCCCCTCTCAGTCCTCCCTTCTTGAGGCTGAACAGGCCCATGTTGGAGCTGACCTGATGGGGGGCACTGAGCTGGGGTGGGGGGAGGCTGCAGAGTGCCTGGAGACTTGAGGCCCTGACACCTGTGGCCCCAAACACTATCACTGCATGTGAGATGTCCTGTGTGCTTGCTGAGCAGAGAGGTGCCTGGGGTGCAGAGGGAGGGAGCCATGAGAGTTTCTCTGTTAGCCCAGAGCACAGGCAGGACAGTGAGACAGCAGTGGGTGTGTGGGGCAGGCGGGAGGTGGGCGGTGCTGCCATAACGTGAGACGTGCAGAGCATGACTAGAGTGAAAGTTCCCAGTGCTATTAATTCTGGTTGCTACTGTGTGCTGGGGAACTGCCATGGTTACAGCTCCTCACTGAAACACAGGCTCCCTGACAGCCAAAGCAGAAGTTAAAGAGCTCAAGTACCAGATGTAAAAATGGCCAAATCTAGGAAAAGCACTTCCCAAGCATTGCACGTAGGGAGGTTGTTTTGCAAATGCTTCTGGGACTAGCAGCTGACTTTGAAGGAGTACTTAAAAGTCAAGTAAAGTAGCACATGGGCTGGCTGTCACTCATTGGTTTTCAAATTGAACTAGGCCAAAAAAGACAGCTTGCAGCTACTTGCCCACACTGCACTGGACTAAATGGCAAGTAGGTGGTGGTTGCAGGACACACTGAAAGCCATGTGCCTCGAAGTGCTGGGCTAGGCTGGGTCCATCCTGTATAAACATGCCTGTGTGAGTGAGCTTCCAAGCATTTGGTACTTTATAAAGTTTCAGATTAAATTAGCAATTGTAAAAGTTAACATTTGTAGCATTTGTGGGGGGGTGGATAGTAGAAAAGTCACAATGTAGCTGAGAATCTGAAGTGGGGGAATGATGTGAGGGGTCATCCGTCAATCTTTCTTGAAAAGTAAATGTGGTTTCAAAACAGTTCCAGAGTGGATTAAAAGTAAAAAGTGAAGTAGAGGCAAAGAAAATGAAACTGTATACTTTTTTTATCACATGCACCATGGGCCTATTTACAAACGTTTTTGACTTTAGCTACCCTAAGGAGTCTCATTACTTCAGTAAGAGTTAGAAACCTGATTGAAACAATGGTGTTTTGCCATGGGATACACAGATGCTCACAGTCCAGCCAGTCAATGTTTGTAACAGAAATGAAATTCCACTTTGCTGGTCCAGTCCTTTTGTCTCTGTGTTTGGTTTTAAATCCGGCAATCTATCTATCCTTTGTTCTCACTATGTGTTTTGTTATTTAATTGTGCAGTGCCTTTATATGTGTCAAAATTAATATTCATAATGTGCTCCAGGCAACTTAACTATCCATACTGCCAAATTTTAATGTCTGACTTCTTCACCACCTTTAAAAACGAGCATTGAGTACTGAAGATTTGACTCTGCTGAGCTCCTGCTTTGAAGTAACACGATGAACTAGTTTACAAGTGGAAACCTGAAGTTTCTGAGCACACAAGCATATCCAATGGAGTCACCCTGTTATTTTGTTACTTCCCTGGTACTGCGCTTGTCCCTTTGACCCCTGTAAAATGCAGGCTGCTTGACCAAGATAATTGCTGTTGAACAGTGCTGTTTTATTAACACGCACTTTATCACCACAATCCAGTCCTGCCAGGGCCTTGCTGTGGTGTATATGAGAGGTACACAGAGCAGCAGAGAAAAATCCTTTAAGACAAATTTAGGTGCCAGATTGCTTTATGCCTTTTCTTTTTTTTTTCTTCAGGGGACATAAAGCTCTTCAGTTTACCAAGCGAATGTGAAGCCCTCAAGAGTATAAACTAGGGGTCAAAGTAGACTCTTGCACTGAGATTGTAGAAAGGATTTTCTGTTTGCAGATTTCCTTATCCGTGCACATTAGAGAACAGACCTTTCTTCCTCTGCCACTGGCAAAGAAATCCACCTTACTTAATCATATTATTATGCTGTGACTCAGCAATAGTTGTGCTATTGTATCTCAGTATTCTGGTTGACATTGAGTACTTAATGTCCAGCATAAAGTTTTAGTAAGGCTGGTAAGGTCAGGTGTTCTTAAAGGAACAGCTTTTTCTTACAAGTCTGAAACTGTCTCTCTTGATGGGGCATGAGAAAGAGATGAAGCAAGAAAAGAGCTTATTTTACTATCCTTGTGAAGGTGTTTTTCAACTTATGGGTGCCTGGAAAGAACTTCCTGTCAGACTGTTGATCACAGCCTTCTTTTTTGTCATTCTTTCATGTAGCAGCAGTCAGTAGTATTAAATAATCATACATTCATGTCAGTATGATAAATAAGTTTTAAAAAACATGGATTTAAGAGATGTAATCAGGATCATAATCAGTAACACCAATAAGCAATTATTCAGCAAAGATCAGGTTGTGGTGAAACCTGCACCAGTGTTTACTGCAGGATCTCTCCTGCAGATCGTGCTCAAGTGAGAGGACTGATTAGTTATAGCAGGATAAGAATATCAGCCTTATAGTAGATAATGGCCATGAAACTGTGTCCTAATATTGTTCTTTTCATTCCATGATGAACTTTACCTCAAAATGACTGTAGATCATATATATTGAGATGGAAGTAGCGGAAATTTTAAGTGTATATCAGATCTTTTTTTTCTTAGAGAGATTTTGTAGCCTCAGATTCATATAAAGCTTTATTATAGAATGGGAACATGGAACATGCCAGGCTCTGGAATTATACAACAGTAATGAAACACAGAAAGTACCACTGTCATTTTCTTAGAATAATTTTACATTTTTGCCATTAAAATAAAAAAGGAAAGAGAGCTTTCAAATGTGAATAAATTCAAAGGTCATATTCCATCCCACTGCCAAACACCAAGTGCCCTCTTCTGATGTCTGTTGACTTTTAAGTTCTTAATATTTCTCTTGGCAAATTCTATTTGGAATTCAGGGGGTTTTTTTCACACAGCATAAAAACACTGCACATGCTGTGTGCCATAATGAAGCATTATTGTAGTTCTGACTTATTACAGGCCTGAAAGTGAATTTAGCCAGGGCAAGTAGGCAGAAGTCATTATCATTTGATAGCTGCTAAAGGTCACGAATGACAGGGCCATAGGCATTCCTTTATTAGAATAACATCACAGTTAACAAACTAGGAACTGCTTTAGTTCAGTGCTTGAAAGAAGTATAACGTTTAAGTGTGTAATATCTTAAGAATAAGAAGCAAGGCAGTTAATACTATATGGTGTGTGTATTTTCATATATACATGTGGATCGAGACTTCTGTTTATCAGCACATCGAAGTGACAGATTTCCTCTGAACCTGCTGAATGCTCATACAAACTTTCTCAAGCTAGTTAAGTCCCTGAAGTTTAACCTGTGTTCAGGTGTTGCTGAAACACAGCATAAATTTTTATATACTTTCTTGGAGTATTCTTTATGATGTGGTGCAGTATTTATTAAAAACTGGATTGTTGTTACAGGCATTTAAAATATTTATTTAAGTCTTTCGTATGGATCTCTCTTGCCTCAGGCAGATTTGTTGTTGGGACCTTAAAAAAACCATGTAGATCAAGTCTTAAATTTCAAAAAGAATATTCTGACACTCATAAGACTTTTTTTCCATGTATTTTAATTGTGAAATTTATTATAACTAACTCTTTCACATCAATAACATGAAGACACAAACTGGTATGTACTGAGAAAAGATAGTAATTGAAAATTTAAACAAAATCAAAAAGCCAGCACCTACTGGGTTATTTTTTTTCATTTATGTGTTTCTCCAGTCTACCTTGTAACATCAAATCAACTTTACAAAAACGTTAATGTATTTGTGATAATTTTTTTTTCCTAACTCTTGATTCTGCAGTTTTCTATTCTCTAGACTTTTGCTTTAAGTTCTTTAGAGAGGAAAAAAAAGTTTTAAGGGTAACCTTTGCCATGTACTATAACAAACAAACAAGAACAACTCTTTGGGGGGATAATTTTCACTTTGTCTTAACACATTCAGAGGAAAATCATGTCCTAAAAGTGGGTAACATAATGATACATAGAGTTCTATAAATTTTTCATTTTAAGTCATGATTGTAGTGTACACCACATTAAATATAAACAAGCTGAAGGCCTCAGATGGGAGTGCAGCAGCAGGTGTAGGAGGAGATCAGGTGAGATAGAGGTCCCTCTGCTGACATAGGTAGGAGCTCTGGGTAGCCCTTTAACAGCACTTGCTGAAACTTTTTCCTGTGTAACTTCAGGACTTTAAATCAACTAAGCTTTGCCTACCTGCTCTGTCCTTAGCTTGCAACTAAGACATCCTAATGGACTTCTGAGCTTCTCTGGCAAAATCCAAGATGTTCACCTTCCTTTCCATTTTCTCTAGCCAAACTTTTTCCTCCCCTACTCCTTT